TGCACAAGTCTTAGAACCACTCTGGTAACTTGGGGAGTGCACATTCCAGGAATACTGAAGAAGACCTTCAAGGCAAATCCTCCAGCACCAAAAACTGAAAGCGAGACTCGTTCACTGGGTCTCCAGAGCTGGAGAGGAAGGACATGGAAGACACAGCAGGGTAACTAGAAGGTACAAAGTCTGTAAGTATTCGGGAAGAACACTTCAGGGACTGTAAGAAGTAATTTAGAACTTTTTCTTTTTTGGGGGGGGGTAGTTTGGGAGTTTAAGGGGTTAGGCTTCAGCCTTAATATCACTGGAGGTTTAGAGATGTCATTTGAGGTAACAATACAAGACTGAACTTGTCAGTATGCCACATGAATAACTTGAGGACCAGGTCTTGGCAAATAAGGTCCTCCCTCACACATGGCTCTACACACGAAGCCAACAAAGTAAATTGAGTTTGAGGTGAGCTGTGTGACTTATTTGTATTCTTTCCAAATACAAAAAGCAATTTAAAGTTAAAATTTTATAACTATCTATTATACACTCACCTCAATAGCTGTAGCATTTCACCTCTGGCAATACATTTCTCTAATCATGTACCTTGGAACACAGTTAAGTACTTAAAGTCCATCAAGAGTGAGTGATGGCATTAATAAGGTCAGCAAGGGTGATCTTTTTTAGATTCCTTGGAAATGAACAAACTGCAATTGCTTAGAGAGACAAGAAAGAATCTCTTTCTAGGGGTATTGCTGCTTCTATGTACTCTGCTCCACATTTTTTTTTTCGTAACAGAGCGTTGAAACAAGTAATAACAGAAGCATTTCTATCTTTCCCTCTGCAGGAACAATGCCTGAGGAGGACAGTGCACTAGTTAATTTGATTGCATGTCGAATGTCCTAAATTCCTCTCCACAAATACCTCAGGAAGATAATTCAGCTATTGGATAAGACTCTACAACAAATCTTTGAGAAGCAAAATAGACAAAAGAGAAATTAAAGAGAAAAGACCATGAATAATACATATAAGGTGACAATTTTTTTACCTTCCAGGATTTAAATTACTTTAGTTCTGGAACTGGGGTGCTGGCAGGGGATAAATTCCTACAGTGGAGCTTTGGTGCCCTCCATCTTCGGGTTGCAACGCAATGTGCTTTAACAAGGCACGAACAGTAGGTGGCGCCCATAATCTTAAAGACAGCAAAAGACCAGTTCCTTTCTCTTTATAAGCAAGAATGACCACTTTGTAGGAACACAGTCAAGAATGGGAACTAACTATTCAAGTGTTTCCCACTATTGGTGTCCTTGTAGATGTTCCTTGATGTAAAGGTTCAGTGGTGAAACATATTTTGGGAAAAATTGCACACTTCCTCTGCTTCTTGGAGATTTCCAAGTTACACTGGTAAAGAGATATTTTTGAGAAGTTACAAAGCGAAAGAGCCTGGTACCAGGGAATCATGAAAATCCTAATATTATTGTGTGAAACACAATTTTGGAAATGCTGATCAAGTTCAACCCCTGTTCCAAAAATGGAACAGCTCCAACTATCTAAAACAAAGATTCCTTACATGTGGTTAGCTGATTATTTTTTTTTTAATATTTGACACATTCTAAGGCACTGTATTTAATAATGATAATAGCTAACATTGATTTAGAACTTACATTATGACATACTCTAGTCTGTCACTGCCGTCTCTCTTTCCTTACAATGCCGCAGAGATGCAGATATATGATAAATGACGTACTGACAGACCACGTTCAGGCTGTGAATATTTTTAGGACAGAATATTTATCTCAATTCATCTTTGAAATCTCAAGCCCTAGTATGTTATCTGACACAAATTAAACCATTAATAAGTAAACTATCTAGGAAGATTCTATAGTTTGTGTGGAAGAATAATTCTGCTAAATAGGCCTGGGCATTCCGCCCCAGATTAGAAAGGCCACTGTTTATATACAAGTCTTTTCTCAATGAAGACCAGTTGAGCTCATACATCACCCCCAGCTCCATCACTGAGGATTCTTTTTTTCTTCTCTGATCTTACTACATTGCTGTTAGCATGACATATTTGCAAATTAATCTTACAGGATCTTGTGGTATGTTGTGAGTTTACATTTAATTACTATTTTTCCCAACCAGTAGTGTATAGCTTGCATCTCTATGTCTAGTGTAAGCTGTAGATGTAGAATATGATATCCTTCATATTCTATTGTTAGTAACTCTATTCTGCCATATTTCCTTTTCGTATTGTAATTTTTGAGCCTCTCAAGCCTGCTTTTTTTCTGTCAGTGTTAACCAAGGAGATTCTAGTAGTCTTACACCTAATCACTTTCCAGCGAAAGATTAAATAAATTTCAACAAGCTCAGAAACAGAAATGTTCCCTCTTCCCTTTCTGTTTCAAAAAACAGATGATATTTTCAGCATTGAATTGTCCTTGCTAATGTTATATCCCAAAAGGGGTCTTCTTACATGATATTTGAACTTTAGAGATTGTTGCTGTATTCTGTGATTGTAATATCTAAAAAGACCATTGTTCTGATTAGTTGCCTCACTTACTGTGTGCTCCTGGGAATGATAATTAAATGGCTATGTTTATTTTCCAAAAGCAAAAATACTTGTGTGCTCTTTTTTGAGCCACAGGAGGATTATTATTCCATTCATTTTCTCCCACATGTACTGAGTTTAGGACAAACAAAACCTATAGCTTTGTGGATTTCTCATTTAAACAGAGTTAGAGAATCTTATGTCATCTCTGTGTCTCACTTTGCTCATCATTAAAATGAGCATATAAAGCATGGGGTTGTCATGAGATAAAGTTAGTTAACATAGTGAGTAACTCAAAAGCACCATGTAACTATTATCTCTTTATAGGTCTATGTGTTCCCAAGTGTGGTGTGCACCAAGAAAGTTTAGAATAAATACTATTGACAAGCTTTTGAAGAGATTGTGCTGTGAGGAGAATGAACACTGATTTGGGGTCAAAACTTAATTTTCAGTGCAACTTTATAGGCTTTGGAAAATCATTTAACCATTCTGAATTCTCTTTTCTTAATCTAGAAAACAGAAGCAATAATGACCTATCTTGACACTTAGAATTTCTTTGAGAATCCCCAGAATTAAAATATGTGGAAGTGCTTCATATCTCAGAAAGTGCTGTGATAATATGAATCTTGACAGTGATGAAATGACAGAGCGGTCCCCTAGTCTATAAATTTGAGCCAGGATTATGAAAATATGTTAGTATGTTTTAGACAGAATTTTAGAGTCAATCTTCCAGGATAGCAACTTTTTAAAATGCCACCATACTTATTCAATACCTTTTCATTCATTGAAAGTCTGTTAAGAGACTGCTATGTGGCAGGCACTGTGCTATGTGTTAAGGATGTAAAATCAGTAAGAGAACTGGCTTTCAGGAACTTCTGAGGATGACAGATATATAAATAGATATTGGAAATAAGGTTTAATAGCTGCTGATTGTACTTATATATAATTTTAAATGTCTAAGAAATAGGTAGAGGAGAAGCAGTTGAAAGAATGAGGTTCAGCCCTTGCATGGCAGAACAAGTCCTGGAATTGGACCTTATCTTATTTCTCCCATACCCAACAACCTTCCAGAGATCTATGTGATGTGTAAATAGAGGCTGCTTGCACTGGTGAACCGCAGGAACACATAGGCAAGGGCATCCATGCACAGTGGCAGACACTTTACTTGCGTCAACTGACTTATACTATATAGGTAAGTCATGTGTGTGTGTCTGTGTTTGTGTGTGTGCGTGTGTGTGTGTATGTGAAAGGGAGAGAAAGAGAGATCTACCCACTGTGCTTAAGAGAATGATGTTGTTGTTGTTATGTGCCAGCGAGTCAGACCAGACTCATAGCGACCTCTCCTTGGGTTGCCAAGGCAGTATCACTATGGAAGTAGGTTGCCCAACCTTCTTTCTGAGGAGTGGCTGGTGGGTGTGAACCACCAGCCTTCTGATTAGCAGTCAAGTGCCTTAGGCACTACACTACCAGAGCTCCCAAGAGAATGATAGCTAACAAATATAAGGTCACTTAGAAAATGCTAACTAAAAATTGTAACTATTAAATGAAAACAAATTTTTCTAAGTACACAATGAAAACCACAAACTAAATGTTTCATTGTGTTATGAACCATATCCTCAGCCATAAAAGTATAGTCTTTAAGTAATTCTCCACTATTATTCACATGATTACAAAAACTCTAATATGGGCTTGATATTTACAAAGGATTTCACTAGTCATCATTGAGTGTATACCAGGAAAGTAGCTTGATGTAGTGGGGGTGGGGAGACAATAAATAGTTGAATAAAAGAAATGAAATAGGGAAAGAAAGGAGGGAAGGTAGATGTGATGAGCATCAAAATACAATATTTTAATCCCAGCCCTGATTCTCTCTAGTTTTTCTCTCTTTGTCAAGTTACTTAAACTCTGAACCTTATTTTCTTCATATAAAATAACTTTCGGTGTGATGGTGTAAATAAAAAAAATTACTTTGTATAATGATTAGCAAATAATATGTGATTAATAAATTGTGGCAAGTAATTTTTGTACTTAGGTAAATGATAATTCTGATACTACTCATCACAATCTCCAAAACTGGGTATAGTATTATTTTAGGTACTTTGTTTCATAGTTATAGACATAAAACTATACATGCTATAACTGTGCTCTTGGTAGAATACAGTCAACTGTTTGGAAAATAGGAACTGCATTTTTCAAATAAGTAATATATCAGTTTAAAAAGGCATAATTTTCAATGTTGCAATAGTAGGATATGTGTCTAAAAAAATTCAAAAAAGACCACCGACTCTTTTATCTGAGGAATGTTAAGTGTAATAAGTATCAAGCACCTGAATATCATCTAAACTTAGCGCACCACTAAAGCCATAAGGCTATCATCCATTCTTCCTCTTTAATTAAGGTGTTTTTGCAGCCATAATTGATAATGGCTTTTTCACTTTGGTGTCAAGAATGAAGAGTAAAGAGTAATACTCACCGATAGGATCTGGTCCCCTCTCTGGAGCTCCCCACTTAGGTCTGCTGGTCCACCGGCCAGAATGAAGGACACAAAAATACCTTCTCCATCTTCCCCTCCCACAATGTTGAAGCCCAGTCCTGTGGAGCCTTTGTGTAGGACCACCTTGCGCGGCTCCCTGAAGAAACAAATGGAGAACACATTTCACAGAGTGACTCACTTAAGAGTTAGGTTGCTTTTACTTTCACTGGGATCTATAATACCAGCAATTCACTACCTATGAGAATGGATTCCTATTTGCACATCAAAAAAGAAGTTAAAGTCAGGGCAGATATCTTAGTTCCTCACTGAAACAATTACAAAAATACTTTGTAAAATAATTCCCTACTTCCAAAACATTTTCTTAAACTAGACCCACTTCACATTTCCTTTGTTTAAAACATTTGTTCCTGCCTTGAGCACCACAACAGGTACATAGTAGAGTGAGTATATCCAAAAGAAGGGAGAGAATTCTGGGGACAAGAGAATGGGCCAGATCAAGAAAGATCTTACGGGGCACCCTATGGGTTTGTTATTTGTTTGACTGTTCATTAAAATTTACTCTGGAGGCAGTGAGGAATCATGGGAAGACTTTGGGGGCACCAAGGATATTTGAATCTATTTTAGGAAGATTAACAGACAGCCATATGTAGGGTGATAAGGGGTTATGGATACAATGAGAGGCAGAAAAAACAGTTGGAGTATCATGCAAGGAATCTCGGTATGAGGCACTGATGAAACAAGGGTCATGGCAGTGAAAACGAAAAAAAAAGGCAAACTGAGAAAAGACTTTTGAGAGAAGAATGAGTAGGTCCAGAGATTGCCTCAGGCAGGCATTAGAGGAGGCAGGGAGAAAGAATAGCTAAGTAACTGGTAAATGGGAGGGGGAAATAGAATCCCGCATAAATGAGTATGCTTGAGATTTCTGACTTGCTGAGTTCCAGGTAATGGTGGAGTATTCATATGGAGATGTTCTGAAGTACTTGGAAACAAACACTAGGAATTTGGGTTCTGAGAGAGAGGGTAATTAATAATAGGTGAGAGATGGAATCTTGAACCACCAGTTCATTGAGGGTGTGTAGAGGTCTGAAAATCATAGAATTTTGGAATTCTAAGGGATACAAGAAGGCATGTAGTTCAATTTTCGCTATCAGTAGTTTTCAAAAACACATTCTGAAAGCCTTAGGTTTGACTTGGGTGCATTTGTACCACCCACCCTCCTCTTCCAAACATCTGTTTCAATTACTGAAATTCCTCTTCTATACACTTTTATATATTAGATTTTCCTGCTATTAGTGATGTAAGAATGGCAAAGACCTACCTGATATAGTCCCATAATAATGCTGACAGTCTGTTATTTGCTACCACATATCCATGAATAAAGCAATGCATTACCTCTACATGTATCCTTATTATAAGGAAGAGTATCAAATACATATCACAATTTGGACAGCATATTACATAGCATTACTTTAAGTCAGAGGTGACTTAACATAGCATTAATTAATTCTATTCTACAAATACTTTGTGAGTAACTACTATGGGCTCTGTAACATTCGATGAAACTGTTCCAGGTGCTTTGGATGTATGCAAACAAAATAAAGATTCTTGCCTTCACAGAGGCATGTACCCACAAGCAACAGATACAATAAATTAGTTCTTTATATGTTTATGTTAGAAAGCAATACGTACTTTGGAAAAAAAGAAAAGCAGAAGAGTGTAAGAGAGAGTGGTTGTGGCAGGGTGGAGCTGGGTAGGCTTCTCTGAGAAGGTGACATTAGAGGAAAGACTGAAGAAGGGGAGAAAACTCACAATGTGGACACGTGGACGAACAACATTCCAGCCACAGGAAATAGTCAGTGCAGAGGCCCTAATGTGGGATTGTCCCTGGTGTTGTCAGGGAAGAGTTGGAGGTCAGTGTGGCTGAACTGAGTGAATGAGGGAAGGAGAATATAGAAAATGAATTAAGTATTTTCTATTGCTGAGCAACAAGTTACAACAAACTCAGTGGCTTAAAACAATTCCCATAATTATCTCACAGTTCTGTAGTTCAGAAGTCCAGGTGAGCTCAACTGAGTTCTATCAAAAATGGGAAAGTTAGAGCTTTATTTTATTTTTTTTTTTTAAGAGAGAATATGTTTCCTACAGAAGAAGGATTTTACTTTTTACTAAAAAAAAAGCAGAAAGAATACAGCTTTTTTTAAAAAAAACATTAAGAATGTAATTCATTCACTGAATTGTGCATGTAAAAAATGTTGAAATGGCAAATGTGTGTTTTATATATATATGTTGTTGTTGTTTGCCATGATGTTTTATAAGGATTTTTGTTATTATGGTGTG